TCACAGGACAGGCCTTACGAACGACTGCGTAGGACGCTACAACTCCATTACTGAGCCCGCAGCAACGACAATACTTGGTATCGGACATTCATTTACGCTAATAATAACATGCTACGCAATAAACTGGGTAGCCTTGTTAAAAGTCGCTCATTCTTTTTCCTCTCCCTGCACATTGAAGGAGAATACGAGCGACGAAGTAGCGAGTGGATGAATTGTTTTTTAAATCTAGCTATGTCTTCTCAAGGATATATGATCTGTACCTGCAAAAGCTCATGTCGGTTGATTCATTCTAATATTTTTAAAATGACCCTTGAAGTGGAGACGTCACAAGGCAAGAACTCTACAGTCTCTTATCGCGGTTAATAAGTTTATGCTAATATATTCTTGACAACTATCAGTGCATTCCTTCGTGATTGCTCTCGCTGGTGCAAACCCATTAGTTATATATAAAATCAAGTTACTCTTTTTTCTCTTGTCTGTCTGTCTGCTTGTTTTATGTTCCATTTATTCTTGTCTGTTTGTTTGTTTGTTTGTTTTGATGAGAGTAACTGGCTTCTAAAAATTCCACTCACTTGAAATTTCAGTACAATGCCCAAACTAATCATAAAGTCGCGCAGAAAAAATTCTCCGTCGATTTCGTTTTTTTTATGGACCCGTGAATAGACACAATATGATATGCAATAAAAGCGAAAAATGCATACTTTTCTAATTTTGTATTTAATTGCAATCAGGCCAACCGATTGATCTCGATTTCTCATCATCACTGGTTACTACATTGATAAGCGAAAATATCGTAAAAATAGTTTGTCAGAGACCGAAATTAATGCATTTTGTGGGTATCACGGGACTCCGTTGATATTTCATAGATTCACGATCCAAACAAAAACTTGAATAATTTTAAAACTGAACAATGGAAATCTCTGAAACTTTTTGACCTTGAAGACTACCATAGTATGTTTTCAGATAGTGAACTCCGTTTCTCCGGGTATGGTCAGGTTACGCCAAAAAATAGATTTGAAACATAATCACATGACGTCACTGTGCCTTAAGAGCGTGTCCGATGGTCACGAAACACACATCATTTAAAACTTCCATCTATCCCTACACTTAGTATAAAGGTAAGGTATATCTGGTGCCGCGCAGTTTGCAATACAAGTAGAGGAGTCGTGCTTCAAAATTATTGTATCGAGCCACCTTAAATTCCCGGAGGATAGAAAATGTAATGTTTAGGTACCCCCACCGCTGTGACGTCACGTGAAAATGCTCTATTGAGGTACGTTGTGACATGATACAGTGCAAAATCTTACCATGGAAACAACGTATCTCCACGTCTCGCTCTTCGTGTCGCGGTAAGGACTATCATGACAAAAGGGTGGTACAGTTATGACCAGCTCCGTCTCTCTTCTCTGGGGATATATTGTAAAGAGAGAAAATACTGACATTGCATACAGACTGATGTGTTGAACGGACACATACGAACAGGCTTTGCTCCAAGTGAACTTCAAGTTCTTCTTTTGATCATCGATCATCTTAGTTCCATTCTGGTAATCTTTTAGAAACTGTATCGTTACTCTAACGTATAAAGAAGGCAAATCGACTGAAGGAAACAAGGCTCTAGACATATTGTAATAGTTGTCTGTCATTCTAGAGTCATTGATCGGTGGCACTTTCGAACCAAGTATCTCCCTGACTTCATCAAGATACATCAAACACTTGGTTTCATTCAGCGACGGACATGTTAAAGGTTTGATCAGAATACCAGCTAAAAGAAACCCAACGAGTAGAATATCTACCATTTTGGGCATCATGGCGTCTATTGTAGTAGTTTTAGACGCTCGGTGGGATTCCTAGAAAATGCGGAAGTATAACTTGCAATTAGCATTGGGTTTCCTGTGGTTTTTAAGGGGTCACTAGATCATCATACGTTGCTATGCTACAGTAATGCCATTGGAATATTTGACTGGCGAACTGTTGTGTGTATTGTGTAGAGTCATGTGGTATACTGTACGTAAGCGCTAGCAAGATCGAAAACAAAGTTCAAACTTTTGTTTCGAGATCATATTAAATGTGGAATTTGGTCACGGGTACTCGGGATCTAATCCCACTTTTTATTTGGGGGGCGGGGGGATGGGGGGAGACGCTCTTGAACCCTAAAAAATTCTAGATTTTAAAAAAAAAAAGTGCCAAGTGAAGGCCATGCTAGCTTCCAAAAGGAATGAAATGTCTTAAGAACTAAACAGATGACCAGTATTGGATTGGAATGACTGATTTATCCTGTTCATTGTTGTTACACTTTTTTAAACAAATAGTGCCCCTACACTGAGTCCCGAGAGGAATTAATCTGGGGGACAAAACAATGGATTTTTTTTTGCATAAGAAAAGATGGCCTATTGTTTTGTCCCCCAGAACCATTCCTCTAGGAAATCAATGCAAAGGGTCTATACCCATTATTTAACTAAATACTATAAAATATTTCTTTTCTCTACTTTTGAGGTTTTTCTTTTAACGTTACAGGTGGTTGCATTCAGGCGCGCGTTTCGGCAACTACAGTATAACGTTTCTACAATGCAATAAACAAACATTGAGGCTGGGCTACTTGTGCAAGGTTGTACATTGACGTCAAATGCTATAATGTTTGGTTTGTCTGCATTGGATTCGGCGCGTGCGGGATTCGACGTCTAAACTGGACCTTAGTTATTAAATCTTTTATATACTCTTTTTGTAGTTTTTTAGAGATTTTATGCCTAGTATTTTAGAGTACCTATATGTAATGCGCAGTTGATCATATTAACATGTTAAATTGCGCAATACAAATAATAAACTATTATTATTAAAAGAATTAAATAATAATAATAATAATATTTATTGCTTATATTGCGCATTTTAACATTTGAATATAATCAAATGCGCATTACAAATTAAAAACATCATGGAATACAATGTATATCAATATGAAAGGCTCATTATATTATCCTATATGTCTAATTATTTGAAAACACTATATATCATATATTATATCATATCACATCACATTTTACATCACATCACATCCCATCCCATCCCATCCAATCATATCACCTGCACCAGTTAAGCTACGACACTAGTGATTTTAATTAGCTTGCGAGACCTTACACAACACACAGTGTGGTACTAATTCACAAAGACCACGCGCACGAGTTTAATGCTCCACCGGTAGTCGTGTACGTTTTAGTGTCGATGGCATACTTTTTTCACTAAGTCATGCCACGTCAGTATGGTCACTAGCTCTTAGGAAGACTGAAGAGGAATGTTTTCTTCCCCATTAGTTGACGTTTTTTTGTTTTTGAACCAAAAATCTAAGCTGGAGTTCTTAACTAGCCAGAGAAAGATCAGTGTCATGACACCCTCTATGGCTCCTGCTGTGGAGTTGTTGACAGCATTTCCATTACCAACCGCTATTAGAGCTACTGATATCAGTACCAACGTAAATGACAACCAACACACGAAAAGATGAAATTTTATAAATTTAGCGCTCTGTATTCTTTCGACATTTTTTAACTTGAGCGGCTGGGGGCTATCCTCAGCGAATGTCCTTTCCAAAAGGAATAAAGCAAACAGAATGGAAAGGGCACATAAACACTCAAGTAGAAAAATGGGAATCGCCCAGAATGGCTCTGAAATGATTCCGCATATC